TTTATTTATTTATTTATTTATTTATTTATTTATTTATTTATTTATTTTGTCAAGCAATTATAAGATAACAGGTATAAGTATAAACATAATTATGAATACATTAAATTGATACATATAAGAAAAACAAAAAAGAAACAATAGAACAGGGATGGTAGGCACGTTGGTGCACTTATGCACGCCCCCTACAGACCTCTTAGGAAAGGAGTGAGGTCAATAGTAGACAGTCTAAGGTTAAAGTTTTGGGGGCTTGGGGAAGAAACCACAGAGACAGGTAGATAGAAGATTTCTCCTTTGTGTTATCAGCAGAAAGAGACTAATTAAAGTCTTCCCTCCATTCCTGACCACAGCCAAATATTTCTCATTTAGCCTTGAAAAAAAGGAGCCATTGATGCCAATGGAACGTTTCTCCCCCTTGAACATAATTGGAATAGGGAAGAATATTATGCAATCTATCTGGGTCATAACAAAGAGAGGTTTGCAATTACAATGGTAAAAGAATTTGTCTACTTGGTTAAACAAAACCCATTAGAACGTAACACTTGCTAGATAGTTAATACAACATAAAGTTGGCCTTGTCAAGTATATATGCAGCTATCAGCAATCAATAGTCATGTCTGTCAAAACTCTTGCCTTAACTCTAAAATTGTTTAGACCAAGGAGTCAGCCCAGTCAGCAACTTTATAATGCTACTAGATATCCTTTTATTTCTTTACCTGAACAGAGTAGAATGACTACACTCAGTAGCATTGAAGTAGCCACAACTTCCTTAAATTTCATTTGTTCAGGAGTCATGGGTCATTTGGACACATTCTGTAAGTTAGCCCATTTGATTTGAAAATTGTTGCTGTAAGATGCTCCCGTTTGCTCAGCAATGACAATTTTAAGAGCATATAGAAGGGTAACTTTATTAGATTGCATTCTGCTAATCAGTTATCCTCTGTCTATAGTAGTTGAATGTAAACACAAAGCAGAATAATCTAGCATAATCTTCCTTTTAAAAATTAACACTCTATTTCCATATGGGAGATATATGCTTATTGTGTGTCCATGGGCTACATTTCTCATGTAAATATAGGATACTCATATAATATGCATAGTTCTTCAACGACTCTTCATTTCTTTTCCCAACAATTGCTTGGCAAGATCCTGTACCCAGGGTTTCTTTGTTAAGTATTTGGTGAATTTAAACTACTGCTTGTAGATGTATTGAAAATGAGTTTTCTAGACATAACATACATAAAACTGAATGCCATTCCTGAATCAGAGAGTGCCCTGAATCTGGCAGGGTGTAGTAACAGGGATTGAGAAGATGGCCCTTTTCAATTGGAGGTCCTTTTCTTAAGCCACGTGCATCTTAATAGTTAGCCCTCTTTTGATCCAGGCAAACCAAGTCCATGTGTAGTTATATAATAATGTCTAACAGTAGAATATTAAGAAAATTCGTATTAATGATTGCAAGCCAATAAACACAGATACTAAAGTAGCCAGCGTTTTTATTTTCTTAGAAAAGAGAAATACTTTAAAAGGATTTCTTTATTTGGCAGAGAAATATTAAAAATGACTGTTAAGATTATAAAATTTGTAGATGATTTTAAAAAGTTATAGACAGTTTTAAAACATTTTTCTGATTCTTCATAATATTTCAGTGCTTAATTACTCTGTTAGACTTGTAACATATTTTAACAGTTATCAATAATTAAAACACCACAACACATTTTAAAACTATATGCTTATTACTTAAAAGTAAGGCATGAGTGAATCTAACGACACTGTAAGACCATAATATATACATAATGTCTGTACATAGTGACACAATTGTGAATCAAATACTAAAGGTAAGATTGATTTTGTTGGTTCCAAAAGCATCATTTTTATCCCTATATATTTTTAGACTTCTACATTTGCAGATAAGATACTATTCCCTATAAATTAAAATATATTCTGCATTAATATATAAGAAAAAACTAGCTGATAATTTATTGACTAAGGACCAATCAATGCATGAGAGACCAATTCTAATGTAAGCCTAGAGCATGATAAGTGGTTTTCCTAACACTTTAATGTAAATGATTATACAGCTATAATACTAAACTACATTGTAGGCATTAGGACAATTATTTTCATAAGGTTTATGTATGCAAATGCAAAAATAAAGACACAAATGCAATGTCTTAAATGATATTTTGATTGTTCTAGAACCCATTCAGGACCATAGTTCAAAAACAGCTCCTGGTTGCTTTGGAATGCATTCAGTTGAGTAATCTTGTAACCATACTTAAGGTAAAGGTTCCCCTTGCACATATGTGCTAGTCGTTTCTGGCTCTAGGGGGTAGTGCTCATAACTGTTACAAAGCCGAAGAGCCAGCGCTGTCCGAAGATGTCTCCATGGTCATGTGGCTGGCATGACTAAACGCCAAAGGTGCACAGAATGCTGTTACCTTCTCGAGGTGGTCCCTATTTTTCTACTTGCATTTTTACATGCTTTTGAACTGCTAGGTTGGCAGAAGCTGGGACAAGTAATGGGAGCTCACTCCATTACGCGGTGCTAGGGATTCGAACTGCCGACCTGCTGATCTTACTGATCAACAAGTTCAGCATCTTAGCCACTGAGCCATCGTGTCCCCTAACCATACTTAGAGATATCAAAAATGGTTGGAATGTGAGAATTATGGCAATTAAAGTTTCATATTGTTGATTTGGGATGATGTATATAATATTGCAAACATTTTAAACATATTAAAGCACAGAAATTGTACAACTTAATCTTTCACGGTATCTCTTCTTTCTCATTGAACAATCCCAGAATCGACAGAGGCTTGTTTCCGAGTGGTCTTTGGAGGCGGAGGTGGTGGTGTTTTGCTTGGTAAAGGAGGTGGCAGCTGCTAGGAGAAAAATTGGATAAAAGATCTTACTAGAGAATTAACTGTATCGATTCAAATATAATTTCATATAATGCTGCTATTGTGATAGTAGGATAAAAATCTATACTTATTTAATTCCACTCCCACCTGTGTCTCATGAACAGGGCTTTACTAATGACTGTAACTAAATTGAGTATTCAGTAAGGACAACAACTGAAATGTAAGTATAATTATTTTACATTGCATTTGCTAACTGTTTTAGCACTAAATGATACCAAACTGAGATATATTCTGGAATATATTCCTCTAAAAATTTTTATAATTATATTTCAAACTTATGAACAACCTTTTATTTGCCAGCATATGTTTATGAAGGCTTAATGCCACTATATTATGTTGTTGAGTACTGTTTTGAATTCTAGAATTTATTTAAACAAACTAATCACTGTTGGGACATTTAGTTAGTTCTAGGTTATTTCTCTCCTTGATTAATTTCCATCCATTGTTTCTTGCCTTGCCTTCTGGTGCTTTGGAAAATAGGTTGACTCTCCCCCACTTCTTTGTAGCAGCCCCTCAAATAAATCATTCAGTAATAAATCATTCAGTAAATTTTACTTTGTCAGGAGTACTTTCCATTTTCATTTTACAACATCTTAAAACTTGCTTTTCTGCTTGTTTTCCCACGTTGTCTTCCCCCATTTTTCTTCAACCTTTTATTACTCTTCAAGTAAATTCATTCAATTTCATACTGGTAGTAAACTTTATTACAATTCTAGCAATTCTCAGTAATGAAAACAAACACATTGAACATCTGTCAATTTTTTTTACTATTATCACAGGGAAAGAACAAAGTATGAACTGAAAATATTACTACTATCAATTTATCTCCAACAAAAGTATAAACATTTGTACAAGTATGGAATAGAACATTATTTGTTCTCTTAAACTTTAATTGTGGCTTTTCAGTTGTCAATTCAACATACAGCTTTAGAACAAAGAATTTGCATTGATGTCTTCACACCTATTCAGATACATCAGATCCATAATTTAAAGATAAAACTTAGATCAGAATAGCTTTTTCTTTAGTGGTAGAGAATTCTTTGTGAATAAAAGGGCAATAGGTAATCAGATCATTTCCCAGGAATGTAATGGATCAGATCAGATTTCTTACAATGTGCTTCTAGAGAAATATTTCTAATGTAAACAACTTGCTTCATTGTACAATAGAGCCAAATGATGTTCCTTTCCATTATAACCATCTTTTGCTTATCTTTTTTCCTTATCCAAAAAATTACCAAAAACCATTTAAGAGTAGTTCTGCGAACTTCTATGTACCACTTTTAATGCAAATCATTATGTCTTTCATTCAGATGAACTGTGAACATTGGGTTTCCTAATAATGATATTTTTCAAGACTTCTCTGTTTTTAACAGTCTGAAGCTCCAGGATTAATGCAAACACCTTTTCTGTGCTTCACAATCCACTTTCAAACAAAATTGCTGGAAAAAAGGCAAAAAGATTTCTTGCCATTTTGAAATAGCAAAAGTATATAGTTATTAATGTTAGATATTCCACAAATCTCTCTTCCACAAAAGGACATGGGCAAGAGTTATTATATATTGTATGTAATATAATATAATTTAATAAAAATTTATAATATATCAACTATATTTAGGTAGGTATTCTCCTTGTTGCTGTAGCTGGCTTGTTGAAGTGGAAGAATGATCTGAAGAAAACTCTTGTATCTATGGTCAAAATTTGACCAAACCCCAGAGTCATGTACAAGTCAGGAAATAAAGCCATTTACATGGGCCATATCTTTCCACTTTTCATTTGAGGTCAGTTCTGTCTCAATATCAGGGTGCTAAAAGTATTCTGTTTCATCTCTCACTAAGAATTATATCCTAGGGAACATAAAGATTATTCTGTAGAGAAACTAGCTTTAGTCATTTGTTCTCTGCATTATTATTTACTGCAAAATCTTTTGTTATTTAGCTGCAGACTGCACCTTTAGAGTGGCTATGTAACATAGTCAACACAGTCAGGAAATAACGGATGACTGTTTTACCATAATATTTTATATTGTGAAGGGCATGTGCATAGTAATATGCATTTTTGACTTGATGGATGAATGGGGAAATTAAGAACCGAAAAAAAATCAGAGAAGGATGCAAATTTAAAGGAAAAGGTTTCTGCAGAATTGAATACAACTGCTGCATCTTATAAATCTTCATAGGTTGAACAATTTAGGCTAAGGGATAAGGAGTTAGGATAGCATCAAGCTGATAGTGGTGGATTTCACATTAAAGGGAAAACATTTAAATTTTAAAACCAACCGTGGAAGGAGAAGGTGGAAAGAAGGTAAAGAACCAGAATGATATAAATCTCAGTTTAATAGAAAATATCAAAAAAGGAAAAGATAGAAGAACAAGATTCTAATAAATGCCTGTGATAACAAAGCCTTTTCAATGAAAAGTAGTGCTGCTTCTCCTCAGAGTTAAGGGAAGGTGGTGTGACTTTGTTGCATATTTAAACAATATTACATTAGTCATCGCCGTCAGCCATTCAGTCATGTCTGACACTCAGCCACTCTATGGCTCAGCACTATCCATGCCCCGCTGACTTGCATCACTTCCCTCAGATCTCCCATTGTCATCCTGGTGTCATCCTTTAAAATATTCAGCCCCTTCTCCTTTTTCCACTCATCACTCCAATGTAATTGACTTTTTGAGTGAGTCAGCTCATAATAATACTAATAGTACTGGAAAGCATCACCAAGAAAGTTGCACTGGAACCTCCTTCTGGAGCAGAACTAATAATGGCTTGTGATTTCATGCATATCAACAATTTTGATTGTCCCCATCATCAAAAAAAAGTCAAGAATGCAGTCCTAGATTTAACTTCCACTCATGACTTGATAGATCCTAATTGAATAATCTGCATTAGTGCTGTCTTGATCTCAAAGGTAGATTGCAATGATGATGCCAAAAAAAATTACAACCTTACATATAATGAAAAGATGAGATCTGAAGAGTGATCTTAGCAATCCAAAATATTGATGATCTATTGAGATCAAATTCATTTTAACCCTATAAAAGACTTTACACTTTTTAGAAGAGCAGTGGGGCAAGGAAATATTTTTCTCTTTGCAATCTTTTAGTGGGGTGGGAAGGATAGTTGGTCATCTACTGCAAATGCTCAATCTGCATTTTTTACAATAACAGCAAGTTGGAGTCCCTGGTTTACACAAACCCTTTACGATTTGGTAAATGTCACCCATATTGACTTCGGATCTCGAAATCCTAGTATGAACCTGAATTGGTACAATCTCAATATGTTATATATTCTAATTATACAAAATAATTATCAGAATTATGAAATACCTAATCAAAGGAGTGGTGTGGAGCCTAGAGGTGGAGCTCTCACCTCACAATCAAGAGGCTGTGAGTTCGATCCCAGGTAGAGGCAGATATTTCTCTCTCTGGGCACAATGAGAATATATCTGCTGAACAAAACTCCACGTTGGTGATAGGAAGGGTATCTGGCCATTAAATACTCTGCATTCAGTTGCCCAGACTCCACCCCGCAAGGAATTATGGGGTCATTAAAAGATGATGGACATTTGAAAAACATTTGAAAAGATGATGGACATTTGAAGTAATAGTTTTAGTGATTAGAGCTATTATGATTTTTTTGGAGGTAATATTTTTTTGACTATAAGGTAATATGGAAATTGATCACTGAAGGTCTGATTCAAATTATTTGCTTGCTGGAACAAGTTAATTTGTGTTGTGGAGGATGTAAGAAGAAAAGGGCCAATAAAAGAGAATATTTATAGCTCAGAATTGAAATGAGAAATCCTTGGTGCTCTTTGGGCTTGCAGATTTTTCATTACCTAACTAGATAATATAATCAGCAACAACAGCACTGATAGTTTGGGTAATGAAATGTCTGCAAGACACAAGAAAACAACCAAACTCAGCAAAGAAAAGGAATTAACAATATAAATTTCTGCATAATTTTAATAGAAATCCCCAGTTGTGTTATTCCATATTAAGATACTTGAAAAGGATACTAAAATATCTATGTTTGTCTGAAGCCGGATTAAATCAGATATGTCATTAAAAAGAAATCTTGTATTTTAATACTATTAAATTAATTGAGTACATACATATTCGGTAATTGATGGGGCTGCCAGTAATGCTTTTTTGGTAGAGTAAGTAGAAAATAACACATTTTGAGACTGAACTCTTAGGTCAATAGTAGTTGCAACTTTTATCTTCTTTCCACTTTTATAAACATGCAGAATGTTCCTTTAGTTTCTGTCTACCTCTTTACAATAAAAGAAGGGGGAAAAACCTATTAGTTTCTGGAGAAAAGTTTGACTGCCAATCGCAATATTCTTGAAATAGAGATCCAAATTTTCTGAAAAACTGAAATGTTCCTTCCAATTGAGCTTACCCCTAGTGACTTAATTAACACATCCATGTAGTTGTCTTGGCAACAGTACGAAAGTTGGTTGCAGCCTTCTTTCAAAATGTTTTGTCAACTTCCAAGTTTAATCTGAGATTCTGGTATTTCTTAATAACCTCCCTTCCAAATATTAAGTGAGCCTGACTTTGCTTAGCTTCCTGGGTCTATTTCAAAATTTGTTTCTATATATGTGAAAGTGTACTATTGTTATTCATTAAATGTCTAAGGCTGGGTAGGTATTTATAAGCAGCTTTTGGCTTGTAAGTCTGTACTAGTGGAAGTTAATTATAGGTAAAAATGTAATAGCTATCATTGGTAGCTATTACATTTTTATCTATAAGTTTCATAATCTTTTACTGCTTTCTTTTCTGTGTCTATTTTATATTCCTCTTAACAGTTTGGCCTTTTTTTGATCTATTAAAGTTTCATAATTTTTAATCACTTGTAAAGAATAATTAAAATAAATTTAAAAAGTAAAAAGACTCTTTAATTTTGAAGCTAGATGACACAAGCAAATTGCTATCAGTAGTAAGGCTATGGATCAGGGG